CCTCCACCTCTGACCAATTAATTTGACCAACACAACGGATCGTATTGCATGGTTCATCGTTATGTAGTGGATGTTTTGACAAATGGGTCGCCTAGACTATTTTCTTTGTTTTCTTCTTCCTGTCAAATGGCTATTTGGCATTATATGCTGGACGCTAGCTCTCGTTTCCTATTGCGACATTTTGTCATCCAGTTCAAGGAATTCAGAAATGTGGAGATTGTGAGATTTTCATGCCTCGAATACATATGTTTGACGAGAGGCGACAACCTCATTGATAACCTCCCCGAGTGGGCTCCCGCACCTCGTCTACGCTCTCTTTCCAGAAGGAAGTTGAATTATGTGTTTCAGGTGTTTCAGTGACACTCAACATTTGAGCAGACTGATTGAGAAGCAATTGAACTGATTGAGAAGCAGATTGATTTGAGCAGCAATGATTGCGAATCTGGACGTGAAAATTTTAGGCAAATATGATATCATTTTTCCAGCGTATTTCAAGAGATAGGGACACGTTGTCTTGTTAATGAATGGAGATCTACCAGTCGCTTTTATTCGGTTATTTGTATGTTCCTGGCATCCTCAAAATCCTCAACCTCAATGTCACATAAGTGTTCGACTTCTATGAGGAAAATAGGTATAGGTTTATAATCTTTGCTGATTATTAGTCAACTAACAGATGAGTGAAAGCGAATTGCAGTCGTATGGCACGCTTTGGTAGGAGAGCACGAAAGCGCCGCCCCCAAATGTCCAACTTATTTGCAGGTCAACATCCTCCAATCTGTTTACTGTTGCGCTGCAGGGAAGCACAGTGTGATGAGTTTCTTTATTTTTACAGAAATCAGCTAGGTTTGAAACAACACTCTGACGTACAAGGTAATCTACTAACCCATACTGCCACAAAAAAATGTTAAGACTTAAAGTTACTTAACCGTTTGCTATCTACCGCTCCTTCTGCCGCAATGAAAGCAGTTCGTCAAATTGCTTCTGAGCAGCATTGAAAGTCTTTGCCCACGACAAGTCTCTTTGCCACTGATTTAGGTTAGAGGTTTATATAATAACAAATAATTAGTACCTTGTTTTGTTTTATTCATTGATGTGTCATTAGAGTCATTTTTGATATGATTTAGGATATCTGCCTTTAGCCGAAATGGTAATAACCTTGAATTTATTTTAACCAGATGCTGATTTGCAATACAGGCGATATTCATTGCAAGAACTGTACATTTAACTTCGATCGTTGACTAGAGAACATAGACGTTCAACTCTTGTTGCTCTCTGTAGCGAGAATCATCCGCAGCAAGATCCGGGGCAGCAAGAAGAAAACGAGACTATCGAAGGCCGTGCATCTAAACGCAATTCGTCATACCTATGCTTCATTACAATGTAAATCTAGAAACTTACAGACAGGGCTAGGGAAACTAGAAAACACAGACATAATAGGTAAACCACTTTGCTGGATCGGCACTCCACCAGACGGATAACCAAACGAGCCACCGAAGCTGCCGCCACCTCCAGGTCTGCCGAACGGTCCTCCATAGGAACCCATTCCACCCGGTCCCCCTATACTTCCGCCACCCCCACCACCTTCAGGACCCCCGAAGCTACCGCCACCTCCAGGTCTGCCAAACGATCCTCCATGAGAACCCATTCCACCCGGTCCCCCTATACTTCCGCCACCCCCACCACCTTCAGGGCCCCCGAAGCTACCGCCACCTCCAGGTCTGCCAAACGATCCTCCATGG